TTATATATGTTATCTGACACCTTTATCCTTTTTCCATACATTCTATTTCATAATTTTTTGAATTTAGATCCTCCTTTACCTGTTCTAATTCAAGCCTGAGAGAATCAATCTCTTTGGGATCAGATGAATTTATTCAGACTAGCTCTTCTAGAAGTCCTCCTACTGCATTCAAATCATGGAGCATCTGTTCCAGTTCCAAGTCATCCAACTTACCTTCCAATTCACGTATTTTAGCTTCAAGAGAAAGAATCTGGACCTTGTCAGTGAACGAAGCTTTCTGGGCTAAAGTTAGCTCTCTCTTTAGAGATTTAATATTCGATTTGAGCGATTTGATTTTAGCAGAATATTTAGCTTTAAGCTCACGTCGACTCTCAGAATGAGACTTCTGTTCAAAAATAAGCTGAGATCTAACTTTAGCATTGAACGCATTTAACTGGCTAATCTTATTTCCAATATCAGCATAGGTTCACCGAGACTCCTTTTCTCGCTCATTGTACTTATCTACCAGCTTTTCACTGAGATCATTAATCTCAGAGTTAAATTCGGTAACGAATCTTAATTTTTTTTTGAGCTCTTGCTCATATACACTACCCAGCCGATGACCAGGTTTTTTATAAGAACTACCCTCTCTATCTTTTATATCATTCAATGTATGCACATTGGATATAATATTAGTATGGTTATATATTAGAAAAAAAATGCACAAATAAATTTCTGAGATAATAGACATAATCTGTTTATTCAGAATAATACATTCTTTCTAAATATCCTATTTATCCTGTATATCCTATACGTCCAGAATATTATCTTTCTATATATTCTGCATATCCAATATTTTTGAAATAATACATACTTTCTATATATCCTATTTAATAAATTATTTCGGAGTATTATATTAGATATAAAAAAATATTGCTACCATGCTCAGACAACGCATGAGATGTGACGCCCCTCCTTTTTCACCAGCTGATTATGATCATATTATGCAATGTGCTGAAAAAAAGCCTAGAGATAAAGTTTTAAAGGATTTAACTGATAAATATCGCACATTACAAAAATGTATCTATTAGATCTGAAGAGGTGAAGAAAAAAATAGAGTTGCGTGAAATCAACCAATTCATATGCCAACAGCTTCGCTTTCTAATATAAATGTTATGGGTGGGCAGATTGAGCCAAAGATCCAAGGCCAAGATGTTTCCCCATTTACAGAACTGGAAAAACAAATACGTGATTCTAAGATAGAGCCTAGTAAATCTATTGATTCAGTTTTAGAAGAAGGTGAGTAGGTAAAAAAGACTAGAGGGAAGAAATCGAAGTCCAAAGGTGGGTTACTACCGCTAATTCCATCTCCTATCTAGTCTCAACCAATTCCCACGTCGCATAAGAAGATAGTTGAAAGAAATGTAAAAAATATAGCAAATATGAAGAATATATTAGAAAAATAATTCGCTTATTCTCTGCCTTAAGCGCTTTCGGCAAGAAGTTCATCATAGCGTGTCTGTAATCTTTCACAATACTCATTGATTTCTGCATTATACTTAAGAGTGCTATATAGCATTTTTTCAAGTTCCTTATAACTCACTTTTTTTTTAATACATCATCATCCTCACTTAAATCCTGCGAAATACAGTCCAGAGTCGAGGAAGTATCACATTCAGGAGTAATGTTCGCGCAATTCACCTCAAGTTTGTTCTTGACCTTATGCATATTAATTGGGATAAAAAATTCCTTACCATTACACTCTAGTTTCAATTCCCGTTTTGATGCAAGTAAATTATAATTATATTTATCGAGAAGTGTGTTGGGTAAGATCAGTATTGGCTTAGGATACTTAACTATAGCAAAATCAGCATATATAGTACATCCAGGAGCAAAATTTACTGAAACATTTCTAACAATTTCAAGCAACTCTGTGGGAGTAGTAGTATAACTCTGAAATCATGTTTTTCTTTTGTATCAATTACTAGCTTTGATCATTTAGATATATCCTTAGACATAATCAGAAAATTAGCACCAGGATCAACTGTATCTGCCAGAATCACTAGACGCTTAATTTTACATTTAACAGTAACAACATCTGTAGCAGGTTCTTTTCTTTGGACAAAGTCTATCTCCATAGGACCATTAATGAACTCATTATCCTCAGAATCGGCTGGTGTTTTAGAATTGTCATTTTGTAGGTGAAGGAGGGTTGTAATAGTGCCAAACTTTTCATTAAGCACTTTCTCAATAATTTTCTCAATAATTTTTTCTAGGTGGGATTGGTCGTCCTGTGACGGGAACTTTGAACTTTGCTTTTCCTTCTTAGAGATAGAAATCGATGCTAAAGGAGGAGTTTCTATATTTTTTACCTTATGAGACTTACAAGTCTTTGATTTCTTCATCCACGAGGAAGTAGTAGTACTATGCGGTCCCTTTAGGATCTGCTCTTTCTTCACTTTTTTTTACCTGAGATATATTAACATTAATTTCAGCATCGGCCTCAGCCTCAGATTCTGATTCGGAAGAAGAACTCTCAGAGCTAGAAGAGCTATCCTCAGACTCCGATGAAGAAGTATCATTATTAGAAGAATCCGATCCTGATTGTTCGTCTATTCTAGCTATATGTACTCGACCACTTTTGGATTTTTTCTTCTTAGACTTATTTTTCGATTTCTTTTTCTTTGTTTTAAAAGTTTTACGGGTAGATTTACGGCCACTTTTATTTAACTTTTTGACTATATTAACCATTAGTTTGGAAAGCTTGGCATAATTGGTATCATTAGTGCCCAATCTCTTTATTAATTCGTCATTAATATAATTATTTAAGGATGTAAGATCTCTTGGTGCATTGGGTGGCATCCCCAAACGCACTGCACGTATATACATCTTTTCTAAGGCCTCATCATTCTGGAGGCGTACTTGAGCTGGTTGAGCTAACTGCTGGGCTTGTAGGGAGGCTAATTCAGATTTTAACTTTTCAATTTCAGTCGATGGATATGATTGAGAGGGTTGTATGTATTGCTGGGATTGCAAAAGAGGGTTAGTACCAGAGACTAATTCAGCTTTATATCTCTCAATCTCTTCTAAAGATGAAAAGATTTCATCAATAGGTTTACTAAGCCCCATACGACAAACTTCCATTTGATTATCTGGAGAAAGTCCCCCAAGAAATCTACGGCGGAATTCATCATCTCCCATATTAGCATGTCTTGCAATCTTCTTGAGTTTGGTATAATAAGAACCTACAGAATCGCTTCCTTGCACTGTTATACCAAATAATGCTTGTTGATACTGTTGCCTAACTGTGGGATAATTTCCTTTAAAGTAATCAATTAATTGCCCAAGAGTGATGTCGGCTAATACAACTGTTCTATTTGGCAAATTTGCATTTGGTGTACACATAACTTTAGATGTTGGCTTACCTCCTGCTGGCGTCCAATCTTCATTGAAAACTATATGTCTGTGAATCACTAAAGCACCAGCACCAGCATCGGCCGCCACAAGTTGTGCATTAAGTCCAGCTGGTGCCGTAGGTAATAAATGTCCTACAATTCGTGCTTGTCCATCACCTTGTAATTGTGCCAAAGTACGATTTACGGTAGAGATAATATTAGATAATTTCCAATTTTTACCCGCTATCTTTCTTTCAAGCTATTCACCCGCTTTACCTTTTAAGCATGACTTAAAAAAGCCTAGAGCGCTGATCCTATCTGCATTATTTGCCAAATTGTTCCCAGAAGCAGTTAAATACCTTCTAAATTCATTGATAAAATAGTCGATATCTTCATCGTAATTTCCACTAAAACTTGGTGGTATATATTCTACCATACCTATACGTTGTATATTAGGTGGGTTATTCTGTAATGCCAAAATTTGTTGTTGCAAATTTAAAATATTCTGGTCACGAGCCCGAACTTGATTCTGCGAATTCCTATATTATCCCTTTCAATTTTGCGCTTGGCGAACACAACCTGCATGCCTTCTTCTCTAGCGTTCTGTATCATTATTATAGCGTACTGTTAATCTATATGCAGTTCTCCTATACTCAGCAATTTGAGTATCCTTACGCTGAATTAATAGCCGGAAGATAAAATTTTCATGTAACAATTCACCAATACGCTCTTGCCTATTTTGAGCCAATTGCCGATACTCTCTACGTACTTCCGTTTCATTATTTAAAGTATTTGTATGCATTTGCGTAATTCTTTCTGCTTGAGCTCGGGATTCATTTAATAAACGTTGTAATCGTAAATTCTGATTTCCACTATCATTTAACCAGTTCCTAAGATGATCTACTCGCTGAATTGAATCATGTAATAAGTTTTGATATTGATCACGCTCGGTTGTAATATTTTGCAAA